CATGCTAGGAAGTTAAACACTCCTCATTCTGCAATATAAATCCAAATCTTTTAAGTACAAAGGTCTTTTGTGTATATGCATTATATACACGAGTCAGAACACCACTGTGGACATCCATACACTCACCATTCATTTCCTTTGAATATTCAAAATGATTGAGGTCCAAGTTAATTTTCTCCTCTCTAACTTCCACTTATAGTTTAGACAGTATTCATGCATGAAAGTAATATTGCACAGACCAGTGAAGCTCTGAGATTGCACTCTCTGTCTTTCTGTACTTCCAATTGTCAGTGGTAAAAATGATTGACAGAATACACAATAGATTTTGAAATCAGAGGTTTGCTTAACGTCAGAACTGTGTTGTTAAACTCACATCATCTTCAGACATCACACAGCCTAATTTCACCACATTATTTCCGCACTGTAACATAGCTGACTCATATGTTACCTTTGACGGTTTATTATATTGTGAAAAAAAAAATCTTGTTAATGGTGTGAAGGAATTCATGCAGTGACACATTAGTCTTCAAATGAACGAGTTACTGTTATCACAGCACACTTATTTAAACTGACTGACTACTCTCTCTGTTAAACTGTGCTAATTGACATATAGTTATTTTCTCCCTTTTCCCTCTGGGAATAATTATGTTGACAGCCAGTGACAGGTATAAATGTGCAACGCAATAAAAACATGCTTGACAAAACAGCTGCACAAGCTACCCTCACTGTTGCATGGGGTTTTCTGTGCAACACCTTTATCACTATACATGCTGCTTTTTACCTACTGTATCACAATCTATCTATCTATCTTATCTATTCACAGTTCACACTAAAGTTAATTTAATTTATTTGGATTGGGTTGTTAATTCCTAGTGGGAATTGTCCAGTTAAAGTGAGAGTACTGATCCTGAAGGTCCTCAAATGGTCCAGCTCAACATCCTGTGTGTGGTCACACAAAGAATGAAGCAACATGGTATGTTTTTAATCATCTTCCTCCTCACTATATCACTCAGCGAGGGAAGCTTACAGCAGGAGCCTCCTTTTCCACTCCAGCAGACCCTATCACTGCTGCAACTGAGGGCCAGGACCCAGCAGCACGGCGGCAGCTGAGACCAGGGCAGAGAGGGAACCGTGCAGAGGGAACAGGCAAGCAGCTAGAGGTGAAAGCAGCAGCAGCCGCAGGAGGACGCAGATGGATGAACAGTACTCCACAGGATCAATCAGGCACTCGTAGCTGCAGCAGATCATCTTTCTCCAGCAGCACGTTAGTTAACACCACCTCATCCCTGCCCCCCACAAACCACATCACCTCATAGCCTATATGGCACATTTTTACCACTTGCAGTATATAGGTCTGTCGAAAGAAGCAGACTGAGAGAAGAGTGAGGAAAAAAACATGAGAGGGAAAGTGAGCTGGTGAGGAAGAGAGAGCAGGAGAGGGTGGGGGGTAGTGGGAGGATGTATTGATTGTTTTCACTGTGATATAATTGCAATTAAAGGTTGCAAACAGGCCAGTGGATCAGTTTCACTGCTGTCAACCAGCAGGATGCATGGCAGCATTGATGCATCCCTACACATTTCCTCAGCCAGCAGGGAAAATGACTAATACACTGTCAGTCCCTGTAGACTGTATGTAGATTAGTGCCTAAATTAATTGATGAAAGGAGAGGTAACAATTTCTAGACCGCATTTCAATGAAAATATTGGCATTTTTGTTAACATCTAAATGTCCTTATTAACCTTTTGTTATTATCATCTTATTCTGATGTTAAAATTGTTGAAGGTTTTATTATTCAACCTCACCTCATATTTATCTGTAGACATTTTGTTTTTGTGGATCTGTTTGGTGAAATTAAAAATGTTAATTAAGGATAAGAGTGCTGTGAACAAAGGGCCTTTTGTTGGACCTTTAAGTCTCAGGATATTTGTTGTTTTCTTCAACACTGTAGGACTGTTGTGCAATTGTCACCCATGAAGAAAGAAAGCGAAAGAACGGATCGTTTTGTAAGCGACCGATGTAACAATGAAGAGGCCTTGCGAGAAACAGCTGGCTTATTATTGAACATTTCCTTTTTGTCGAACTTAGGCCACTGAAAATACAAAATAATAGGTTTGCAAAAATAGCTTATGCTGCTCTTTATTTAAAATTGTGCAGCTGATGTCTTTGCAGATTGAAGCTACACTTATCATTATGTTTAGAATAACAATTCATCACATGACTGAGTGTAACATGAACTGGCTCTTTCATGTTTTGGTTGGACAGCCTGGAACTTTACTAGTCCCCTTGAGCTCATCAACCTTGTTTCTAGAAGGCAGCAGTTTGTAGAAAGAAAAAGCTGTGATAAACCCACTGGGCAACAGTTCACCATATCAACTTTATAAGGTGATTATATGTGAGTGTTATGTTAACAGCTTGTTCTGCTGCCCCCGAGTGGCCAAAATCAATTAATACTGCTTTAAACACTTGTTTGCCTCACAGCAAGTTCTGGATTCCTGATGGTAAAAACATCACACTAATAACAGAATTTGCTGGAATGAATGACGGTATACTAACAGCAATGGTTGTTCCTAAAATTAATGGAGTTTAAATCTTTTAGCTCTGGCAACAGTTTGAGCTTCTCAAATAGTGTCACATTGACATAATCAGCAGTTCTGTGATAACTCTGTGATAACCCTACCCGACTGTCTATCAGAGACCCAATCAGTGCATCCCATTAATTTTTTTTTTGAACCTCAATTTCCTGCCCGTGTGTGTGAGACATCTTTATGGGAACCAAATCGACTATTCATTAACGAGGGGAAGCTGTATCAAGAGCAAACATCTTTAATTAACACATCCCCAGCACTTCCTGTCTTTGATCTCCCCATTTGATTTATGCTTCTGTAAGAAAAGGTTGGGGTGGTGCAGGGGTAGACATGAGGAGTTTGGAGGGGACGAAGACGCTCTATGAGAAAATAGCAAAATTGTGGAGCCCCTGTTGATCAGGAAGTCTTGAAGCATTAGGACCTTTTCCCTGTGGGTCGTGGGGCCAGCTCAATTACCAGTCAGCATGGCTATCTCTTTAATAGCCTGATAAGGCAATAATCCAAAATCCACACAGTCTTAATGACTTTCTGTCTAATTAAGGACTGTTTTATAAAAGACGGACACATCAGAGGCCTTCCCATTGTCCAGCAACCTATTGTTGGAAATATCAGCGTGACCAGTTAAGAACAAGTAAATGGCTTTTAAAAAGTATTAATAATATTTTACTTCGAAGCTTACTATGCGTGAATCAAGTAATCTATCTACAATATAACAGTTCAATGTCAAAGAGGTCAGAGCAAAGTAGGAGAGAAATCTTCTTCAAGTCAGTTCTCACACTGGATTTATATCTTTTCAGTTGGGAATGTAGATGAATGTAGATTTTTACTTTGTCTTTTTTTTTTAAACATCAGTTTAGTACTACATCAAAATATGTATTTAAAATTGACTTGTATGAAGATTTGGGTGATGAAATGGAAATCCCAGGACTACATGTCATCTGTCGGTCTCTGGTAAAACACAATGCCTTTATAATGTCTGTGTCTGTAGAGATTCTGTGTGTTTGTTAGTTTTCAGCACCATCTAGTGGTGAGGTGTAATCCTGTGGTAAGTACCAGTCAAAGTGATTTACACCTTGACTTCTGTCCATAAAGTGCTCTATATTTTATGAATAAAATGAAAATGACTAAAAACATCATAAAGTTTAATTATACACACACACACACACATATATAAAATCTTTATTTAAGAAGAATGTCACATTGAGATTGAAATCTCTTTTATAAATCAGACGTAGGAATAACTTTAAGAAGGCAGTTTAATAAATCAGTTGCACTGTTTTTGTGTCTTTGATTTTTCTACACTTAATAAATAAAAAGCACTAATTAAAGTCATACAGTTAATATGGAAGAACTGAATATATACACAGTAAATATTTCCCCTTCTTTATTTACTCAATACTTGAACACTAATAACTGAACTTTTCTTGACATTTCTGAATTTATTTTATTTTTATAAAACAAACTATATGTATATATTATTAATTAACAATTAATAATTATTATTGTTGAATATGTGATGTTAGTTTCCACAATGTGGTCAATCATCATGGTTATATTTTGGTATTTAGGTATAGTAGAATTTCATCTTCTCTAATGTTTCTTGGATGCTTGCACACAACGTTTATTCTAAAATGTCTAATCTACTGAGCAGTTACTCTTCTGAAGTCAAGAAAAACAGAATGTCATATTTTTTTCCTTTTTAACAAATACCTTTGTTGTATGCTATTACAAATTGCTTGCATGTTCGCACATTGCTTTGTTTTCTTTTTCTTCCTTCCTCTCAGAAAGCCATTTGAGACAAGAGATGGCAAACATGTTTTCCCATACTTACTTCATAATTCATGCTGTTTCAAATGGTCACGTGATTATTTTGCAACGTAAGTATTCACAAATACTTGCACTCTATTACATCAGATAATTCATTTTAGGTTTTATATAACAGAGTAACAACACAAACTATTTGTATGTACAAAATACAGTAAAATACTATTTTGGAAACTTTAGGTGATGAAGGCAACAATCCATATATCTTCATATTAGATGGTTCATGCAGCCATAAGGTTGGCTAGCCATCATTACACTTCTCCGCCTCAGGCCAAACCCCTGACAAAAAAGTGTTTTTCCCATAAATCCATGCCAAAAATAGATGTGGCTGACTTTATCAAACATGATAAATACCCTTCTAAATCCTCTGAATCACAGTGACTCATGTCATCCAGTGATATACTTGTCAGTCTACGTGTCATTTTTCATTGTGGACAGTTTTCTACTGGTCAAAGCAGGAGGTGTGTGGTAACCGACTGATAACACTGTGTGACAGACCACAGGTGCTTACTTGGCTTTTGTCACACGGGAAAAGAACAGCCACACTTTTCCGCACCGGCAAAGGTCGAGTTGAGGTATAAAAGAAGGAGGGAAGCATCCATTCCTTGTAAAAACGTTCTGACGTACTGCAGGCATGCTCAGGTTTTTGGTGTTGACAAGTCTCGCAGCCTTGGGTAAGAAAATGACACTGCACTGTATAACCATTCATTTTTTATCTCTTTCTGTCTCATTCACTCTCTCACTCCCTATAAGTCAGTCACTTTTTCTGTCATCCAGTCAGTCACTCATTTTTAGTTTAGTCAACACGCCTGAGCTCTAGATACTCTGCTCTGCCAGCACACTCTCGCTGCCCTCATTTCTCGTTTTCTCTTTCTGTGTGTTGGAAGCGAATAATATTATGACGCTTCTGGGAAACCATGTATAAATGGTGCCCACTGTTTTCATGTTTTTAACCAGTGCTGGCTGAGCTGGAGCCCCAGCCCAGGTACCTGGAGGACAGCTTTGAAAGAGTCGTGGGAGGTGAGGTGGCCAGACCCAACTCTTGGCCCTGGCAGGTAATCTACTGCAACACACAAACGAAAAATACATGCACTGTTTCAGCACAAAATGACTTCACATTATATCACATTTAGGAATTACTAACACACACACATTTTTTCCCCCCATTAGATCTCTCTTCAGTACAAATCTGGCAGCAACTACTACCACACATGCGGAGGAACCCTGATTGAGAGAGGCTGGGTTATGACAGCTGCTCACTGTGTGGACAGGTAACATAATGATTAACTAGAACACAGAATTGCTATTCGCTGGCTGAGTTTTAGGTGTATTCGTGGGCATTTTTAGATTACTTTGACTTGAATATCCATAACCCACTTTTATCACAATACCAAGGTATGATTTATTTCAGTGTTTCTAAATGTCACCCGTATGAGGAAACTTCTCACAGCCTCATTTATAACTGTCACATACCATGGGGATTCATTTATTTGATTTAAGAGAAAGAAAAGTCTCCAGACAAGGGAATCAAAACATAAACAAAGCCAGGAGTCATTTATTGGTGTGTTGTGGTCTTTACTTTTGACATTAGTTAACTTGTAGTTAGTCATTTTAGTCACAGCTTTCTCTAATCATTGATTGTTAACCTGTATCGTGTTTCTCTTTGCTTCTTTTTTTTTTTTTTTAATATTGCAGCAGTAGGACGTGGCGCGTTGTTCTCGGCGAACATGACCTCTACAGCTCCAGCGGCAGAGAGCAGATCATTAGTGTCAGCCAGGTTTACATCCATTCCGGATGGAACTCCAACAGAGTGTCTGCTGGGTGAGGTTTGCATTTTCTCTTACACACATACGTTTTTAAGGAACTTCAAGCCACATGTGTTTGTTGATTTGAAAAGAGAACTATCTGTTAAAGATTTTTAGATAAGTTATAATGTTTTGAAGGGAATTAATCTCTCTCATTTCTCAGATATCTTTGGGAAAATTTTGTGAATTCTCAGACAAAATGTCCTCCCCAGGATTCTAGTATTTTTAGTTTAGTTATTTTTGGTTTCTCCTGTTTGATCCATGGATCTCCACCTCAGATTTGACATCGCCCTGCTGCGTTTGTCCTCTGAGGCTACCCTGAACACCTACGTCCAGCTGGGCTCTCTGCCTCCCTCTGGCCAGATTCTGCCCCACAACAACCTCTGCTACATCACTGGATGGGGACGCACTTCCAGTGAGTTGATTGCATGATCCCTCTGGGCACAAGTTGGTTTCAGTGCCATGGTTGAGTATTTTCTGCAAGTGTTCTCAGTGTATCTTACCTTTCCAATTTCACCTTGCCTAGCTGGTGGCAGCCTGTCTGCTCAGCTGAAGCAGGCCTACCTTCCTCTGGTCGACTACAAGACCTGCTCCAGCAGTGGCTGGTGGGGCAGCACTGTTAAGAACAGCATGGTGTGTGGTGGTGGTGCTGCTGAGGCTGGATGCAATGTGAGTCTCCTCCTGAAAAAAGAAATTTGGAAAAGTTCTACACTCAGTAGCTAAAGCTATATCAAAAATAATTGACTTGGACTTAGATGCGCTTTATTACTTGTATGCCAATGAAGTGTTGGTGTGATAAGTTGATGTGTTGTTTTATATCCACCATTGAATCATTGTGTCCATGATACTGAAGATGCTTACTTTAATCTCCTTTCAGGGTGACTCTGGCGGCCCTCTGAACTGCATGGTAAATGGAAAATACTACGTCCATGGTATTGCCAGCTTTGTGTCTGGTTTGGGATGTAACACTCCCAAGAAGCCCACCGTCTTCACACGTGTCTCTGCCTACATTGAATGGATGGACTCGGTCAGTATTAGTGATATGTTTATCTGTCTTATGTCATAGAATAAACTATAAAAACTCCTCATCAGTACAGGAATGCTAGTATAGGTATGGATTTTATGGAATTTAATGACTATCTGTATCATTACTTGCTTCTTCTGTTTTCCAGATCATGATGTAAACAGAAGACTCATCCATGTTGCAACACACAAAGACAGAGACTGCATTTGGCCAAGTTTTGACCTGCTGTACTTCTTCATTTGCCTGGTCTGTTTCTACCAAAAATAAATTTCATTAAAACTTTGAGTGATGACTAATTTCTCATCAGACAGTTTATGCAACCACAGTGATGTTTGCCATTATGAAGGTCGCATTTCTTTTGCTTCAGACGTCAAACTATCCTCCTACTCTGCAACAAAGCATGTATAAAGGACGCCCAAAAATAGCATACCAAAGTGTGGCCACAGACTGTGAAAATAAATGTTCGCATTTCAAGACTGTTAGCGATTCTTAGAAACAGTTTTTATGTTTCAGTAAATCCAGTGTTATGTGGCAACATGCCATCACACACTATCATAAACTGTGATAAAGTCTGAGACAGACCACAGGTGCCTTTCTGACCACTGCCAAGCTCAGCGGAGGGTCCACATCAAATGAAGGTCAGCTCAGGGTATAAAAGAATGAAACATGCTTTTAGAAATGTCAAGACGCTGCAGACATGCTGGTGTTTCTACTGTTCACCACACTCACAGCCACAGGTAAGAAATATCAAGGCTGTACTTTAAATAATGTACCGCTGACAAATGTTAATTTTCTCACGTAGGAACTTAGAAAATGCTTTAGGTACAATCAACACAAGGGGGCTGTTGAGATTGTGTTTGGAATGGGTTTCCTCTGTGCCTCAGTGCTGGCTGAGCTGGAGCTTCAGTCCGGTGGCATGCAGAGCAGCACTGCAGGAAGAGTTGTGGGAGGTGAAGAGGTGCCTCATCACAGCTCCTGGCCTTGGCAGGTACACTATCACACAGCCAGACAGAACATGAATAAAAAGTTTGTGTAAGTGCAAGTTCCTTTTACATAAAATACAGGTAGTAGTAGGAACCAAAATACTTGGGGCAACTCATGTTCCAGATTGGTTTTTAAGATTCCTTTCTTATGTTATCTCCAGAAGAATGATGCTACAAAATTAGTAGTTTGGCATTTTGGGAAATTCACTTTCTTGTTGAGAGTTAGAATACAAGAGTGATACCACTCTCTTCATCTATTAATTATTTTATTTGTTTTTGGTTGTAGAATAGCTGATATTAGCTAACTAAAGTCTGTATGCGATGGAAATTGTTGACTGCTTATAATGTATATAAAGCAGTATAAAGCATATATATATATAATACCACGCAAACACAAACAAGCCTGCTGCCTCTGTTAATGTAGAATATTCAGTTCACCTATATATCACATTAAATCAAATTGGTAACACCTGTTATGTTGTATTCATGTGGGGGGTTTGAAAAAATAAATATATTAGAAAAACTACATATAACATTGTTTAACCCAATTTAAGTTACAGTGACAATCTGCAACAATATGGTATATGGGCAGTTGGTGTTGGTGTCACAAAAGAGAATTATTAGTTACTGGGGGACGCTGATAGAAGGTAAAAAAACTAAACTGAGTTGAATAATGTACAACTATTTGCTGAGCCTGCAAAATAAGGGCGTATATGAGTCACCATGGGTCCTGCAGGTTAAGCAGATGGATGACTGTGGTTTGTCTTATCTCTGTCTCACACAAAAGTGCGACAACGTCAACTGGTTGAAACTGTTGAACAGAGGCTGAGAGATTAGTTCATGCTGCAGAGGCAAAGTGAGCTCAGAAGCATGACATCATTTGATATTTATGTAGAATTTAAACAAGAGCTTTATCTTTGTTTGAAAACCAAAAATAGAGGCAGACTATTTGTAATTTTAGAGTAAACAACATCAGGATTAGTCATTGGAAGATCAAAAGGACTGGATAGAAACCATCTTAAACCTCTGTAATGACAATCATTTGGTAGACAAGAATCATATTTTATTTTAATGTAACATAACCATAATGAAATACAGAAAAAGCTATTTGCCCACGTATTGTTTAAAACACCCATCTATGTTTAAATTAAATAAATAAATCTATTATTGTTATTATGTCTTTCCTTTGTTTATACCATGTGGTCATGGTCCTGAGTTGCAAATAAATGAAAATGAAAAATGAAGCTATGTACAGCCGGCAGCTGGTTAGTTTTGTTGGAAACTGGGGCAAAACTGGCATGGCCATTTTCAGAGGGATCCCTTTACCTCTGGCCTCAAGATATCTGTATGAAAATGGCCCTGCCTGTAAATTATGAAAAATAAATCATTTTTATAGTTTTTAATTTACAAATGTACACCAACTTATAATCTGCTTCAAGTATGTGTTCATCATAAAGATACTTAAAAATAATTGATTTGAGAATTTTCCTTTTTTCCTTCTTTATTAGAAAGAAAATAAAACTTTTTATTGGTAAAACTATTTTGTCACTTTTGCTTCAGGTCTCTCTCCAGTACTACTCTGACGGCTCCTATCATCATTTCTGCGGAGGAACACTGATCAGAAGAGGGTGGGTCATGACCGCTGCTCACTGTATGTACAGGTAAGAGACACAATTAATATTGTAAACCTTCTATTATTACAGTAGCTGTTATATGCCCAATCCTTTATTTTAAGATACTGGTTTTGTGCACAAATATTTGTTTCCATTCTTTGTGTCTTACCTCTCTTATAATGTTTTACTGTGGAAACAAGTACACTAATCCAAGCTAAAACAGGTCCAGCTCTTTGCGCGTGGTCCTCGGTGATCTTGTCCTGCACAACAGCGACGGAACAGAGCAATTCAGGAGTGTCATCAATGTTTATATCCATCCTGAATGGAACAATAACAGCATCTCCTCTGGGTGGGTCTGTATGTTATTGCATTCTGTTCAATTCTCATAGTCCACATACCGCAAACATTTTGGGTAAACATTTCTTATTTCTTATGTTATTTGTCTTAATATCTTAGATTCTCAGAGGTTTTGAGTCTTACTTTTACAGTGTTTTACATAGGAGTTTGATGGATTTGATATGGTTAACTGCCTTGAATGAATTTATGGCATTTCTGGTGATGCTCAAGATATTATGTTTTGATTAAATTACATTTTTTGACCTTTAGTAATGATATTGCCCTGTTGAGGCTGTCGTCTGAGGCCTCACTGACCCGTTACGTGAAGCTGGCCTCTCTACCTCCTTTGGGTGAGATCCTGCCCCATAACAGCCCCTGCTACATCACAGGATATGGCCGCACCTCCAGTGAGTCAGGTGCAACTCCCACACACTCATGATTCTGACTGTAAAGTGTGCAGTCATCTCATTCTCACTGTACATGTTTGTTTTCTATTCCTTCAGCTGGTGGAGCAATGCCTACCAGAATGAGGCAGGCCTACCTTCCTGTCGTCGACCATAAGACCTGCACCAGCTCCGGCTGGTGGGGCAGCACCGTCAAGACCACCATGATCTGTGCTGGAGGAGGTGCTCAGTCAGGATGCAATGTGAGTGTGGTGACGTGGAAAATATGAAGATACTACAAATAGACTGATTTCTAAACTGAGCACACTCATGATTATACCTGCTGAAATAATAAAAAAAAAAATCCATCCTGTTGTTTACCAGCAGCTTATCAAATCTGCTGAACTTTACCAAACCTCAATCAATCCCATGATCCACTGTGGGCGAATGCAAAACACATCACATCATAATATAAATTTAAATCTGTATAACACCTAATAATACACCTGTTCAACAGATATTACTCATACTCAAATAGATGTTTGTTGTTCTACTTTTATATGATTGCTTCAATGTTAGTTCTCATTTGTAGTTTTTTATTTACAATTCAGTGCAAGAAGTTAACTACTTTAAAATCATTTATAAAAAACGGTACTAAGTGAATATTAAGATGGGTTTTGAGATTGAGAGTTGTGCATTAAAATATTTTTTTTATAATTGTAATAGTACACCCCCACCCCCATAATAAGTGTCCCAAAGTGAGGCTGCAATAGAGAAACACATTCCAGCTCAGCCCCAGAATATCAGCCAATACTTCCCCAAAGCTTGTTACAACAGAAGACTACAAGTAAGAAAAGAACTGTATTTATTGCTGTGTGTCTGTATAACCAACTGTTTGTTTCATCACAGGGTGACTTTGGTGGCCCTCTCAGCTGCAGAATTGACAACAGTTGGTATGTCCATGGCATAGCCAGCTTTGTGTCTGGTATGGGATGCAATGCACCCCAGAAGCCCACTGTCTTCACCCGCGTATCTGCCTACATCACATGGATGAACTCGGTCAGGAAGTAACAGTTTAAAGACTCATATGTCAAAGTCAAGTCATTAAAATACTAATAGATATAATTTTCTTCTTGCAGGTCATGGACAATCCTTAAAACTGATGATCTTTTTGCTACAGGAACAACTCTAAATTGAGCTTGTTCTCCATCTGCAATAATTTTCCTGGTCAAATCTCCTACAAATAAACTTCATTCATAATCAATATGTGTGTTTTAAATTATTTCTAATTGTCTCATTTTCTGCATTTCTTAGTGTTGAGTGATTGTCATTTTTGAACATTTCACTGGTAATGACATCTCACATTATGACACTTGTGAATAGATAATGTATCACTCACCAAAGTCAAGATAAACCCTGAAATGCAGATGAACAACTGTCCAATCAGGCCTCCTAAAACTTTACATTTGTCATTTTCCTGTTCGGTGCAGTATTGTCAGCAAGTTGACTCTGTGACAGAAATGGGACAAATACAGAGATGAGCAGACAGCACACTGAGCGGGGACACAACATTTTTAGACAAATTTGTTCTGATTCTGAGTCCTGACAGCCAGCAGTCTTGAGTAAATGCTGACTTTCATTACAGCCTTTCGTCTTTTGCTTGGCCTGTCCTTTATTATGATTCCTGTTATTTTTCAAATTAGACTCTTGTCCTCTTTTAGCTACCACCAGAAATTGGTCAGATAAAACTGGTAAGAATGGTGTTTAATAAATAGAAGGTTTGTATTACCCTTTCCGTTGCCTCTCTGGGGGTTTTGTGGCATTTTAGAAGCAAATGGCTGCAGTGAGTACTGAAGCACTAATGGAGGGTATTAGATGAATAATAAGTCTCCATATGGGAACCACACACATGCTGCAGCTGTGCTATAATCAGAATGGAAAGATAGACTGACTGACTGTTGTGACAGAGGAAAGTCATTGCGCTTGTCGTATATCCTTTTTACTGGTTCTCCATGAGCACATGCACTCCCTCTTTTCTTCAGATTTCTTTTGATGTGAAATATGTTAAAGCTTATTTTATTGAATATTTAATTTCAACCTTGAAACAATTTAAAGCAGGGCCTGTGGGGAGGTTATAGTGACTGTTATTCATGTGCATGCATTAGTTACATCCTCCCAGCTATATTTTTTATTGTTATGGTATTGCTGTAGTGGATGTTTCTGGCAAGACGTTTTAGAGTTGAAATAAAGAGATTTCACACTACAGTGTGCTCTACTCACTAAATATACACTCACAAGTTTCTCACATATAGCCAGGAGTGGTTGAAGAGAAATATTGATGTGGTGGCCAGAGCGTGGCATTGAAACTTTTAAAGGTGGAAGAAATATATATGCTTAATTGCAAACAATCATGTTTGCTGTTCAATTTAATCAAAATAACTATCCACTGAGTTTTTGAAAAAAAATTAAAAAAAATAAATGTTGCACAACAAATACAAGTTAACATGCATACACTAATTTTACAGAAATTGAATTCAAAGGAATAGTTTAAAATGTTGGAAAAAACTCTAAGAGAGAGCAGTTTGTGAGTCACATGCACAAAAAATCTTTATAAAGGTCATGTCTGCACTGCTAACCCGCTGCACTCTTGTTAGAGAAAAGCAAATAACAGAGCTCAGATAATACAGCATGTTAAAGTGTTGTTCAGCAGCTCCAGAATGTGTAGAGCAGTAGAGAACAGCACTGTTGATCATGTATACATCCTGAAGCCTCAGTAATACAGGCACACTGCTGGTATTGTTTCTGTTGCCTAAAACAAAGGTCCCAGAATATAGTTAAATTCCATATATATTTATCAATGGAAAAAACAACAACATTATTATTATGAAGAAATTTAGCCACTGATACCTGAGCAAGTATATGTCAGAATCAATTGTCCATGTCTCTTAAACCAAATCCTGTGTTGCAGCAGCCATTACCGTACACCGCCAACACTGGGACACACAGAGTTATAATACCACCACCTCATGAATACTTATCAAAGGCTTGAAGTGGAAAACGGTACCGTAGCCTCGGGGTTATTACTCTAAGTTTTAAACACTGATCTATATTATTTAACAACCTGCAACGTGTAACACACATCATATTCCCATTACAGTAGCTCTCTACATGTCCCCCTCTACCTTCTGCATAGCTGGAGCTCAACTGTCAACAAGCTGAAACAGCCTGTTGTTGACTTTGCAGCAGCTTGGACCGGAAAGAGAATTTCTGTGCTTGATTAGACACTGGCTGATGAGTCTGAGGTCCTTTAAAAGCCCTCTTGGATGCCTCTGTGGTAGTTAAAACATGATGTGTGCCATCTACACTGACCCAATGTGCAAGAAAAAATGATAAAGTGCCCTTCCTATGTATTTTTTTGCCTTTGCCACTCCAACAGTCCACTCGCCTACTTTACTGTACTCCACAAACTGATCGTCTACACATTACACATAACAGTTTAGCATCTATAACTGCACAGTCAGTTTATAAACGTAAATCTGCAGCATGACTTCAAGTCAAACGTTAAGAAAAATCAGTTCATGAAATTCTACCTAATATCAAGGTCAAAAAGATGATAGCAGCCATACATGTGTGTATCTTTGAGGATCAATATCAATATATAAAAAATGTTAATGTGCAGTTTTGATGGTGCTAAATAGCACATCAATACTGCACAATCCCACATACACGTCCATAATGTTTGAAACTATTACTAAGGTGGTTTGTGTTGCCAGCCTCTCCAGTTAGTGTTAAAATACATGTTCTACTCAAACATGAATATATAATTAAATGCACTTTCAGCCAAATTAAAATGGCATACAGTCTGTGCAACTAAAATGCCTAATCAACCCCAGACACTGTGGGGATAATCTTCCTTGGAGTACTTCATCACTGTGTTTCTGACTAATCTCAGTAGTTGGTTGCCTGTAGTTGCCTTTCCAGACGAGCCAGAAAGAGAACAAAGTCATACATTGCATTTGAAGATGGGTTTTCACTGCAGGGGTGCACTCGCAGAAAATGTCAGAATGTGTATGTGTGTGTACGTGGAGACCCTCTCTACCTTGGGCACGAGTGAACTTGTCTCTAAAGATGGTAAGTAAGGCAGATGTGAGGTGATAATGATATAGAAGTCTTCAGTGTGAATGTGGTTAAAACACGTGTAAAAACACAAAGAAGCATTGTTACATGCAGTATCTACAGTGAAAAATTGGTTTACTACAACATATATTGTAAGGGTTTAGTAATGAAAAAATAAACCTACAGTAAAGGAAAATCTCATACCTGATTCTCAAGGCCAAAACAAGTGGAAAAAATGGATTCAGTCGCTGAGTCAGCTATTCCACATATTAAACCCTCCGTCCTCCACTGTAGTGATAACTGTGAGACAGACACAGGTGGACATGTATATACACACACACACACACCTATCAGCAGATGGGGCCCTTAGGGTATAAAAGAGTAGTCGGTGGAAGTCTCCAGTGCAGAAAGTTTTAGGAGACTGCAGACATGTTCAGGTTTTTTGTGTTGACCTCTCTCGCAGCCCTCGGTAAGAGTCTTTGACATTCCACCCACCCACACACTCTAATCAATACACACACACACCAACACACACACACACACAACTCCTAACCAAATGCATAAGATGTCTGACACGTAAGTTGTTTCTCCTGTGTCTCTGCTCGGCTCAGTGCTGGCATGAGCTGGAGCACCAGCAGGAGGAGCCCCAGCCCAGGTACCTGGAAGATGACAGTGTTGAGGAGAGGGTTGTGGGAGGCGAGATTGCCGGTGCCCACTCCTGGCCCTGGCAGGTACAGTTTGATTTTTTTGACTCTACAACAGTGGTGGAAGTGGTGCTAAGATCCTTTGCTTAAGTAAAAATAGCAATACCACAATGTGAAAATACTCAGTACTCAGTACAAAAAAGTTCTACACTGAAAATTCTACTTAAATAAAAGTAAGTAATAAGTATTAAAAACAAAGTGTACTTAAAGGTCCAGTGTGTAACAGGAGGATCTATTGGCAGAAGTGGAATATAATATTCATAGGTAGGTTTTCATTAGTGTCTAATCACCTGAAAATAAGTATCATTGTGTTTTGTTACCTTAAAATGAGCTGTTTCCCTAGAAAATAAATCATTTAAGTCTCATAAATTGTAAGTAAGTACAGTACTTAAATTAAGTAAATATATTGTAAATGTATTTCAGTTTCTTTCCACCACTTCTCTATGACCATGTATGTCAGATATGTTGAAACAAAAACATATATTCTGCATACACTCATCCACAAAGTTTAAAGGGTGCATTTAAGAGCGTACCTGTGGTGCCTGTAAGCATCTTTCCATGTCTGGAATTCTGCCAGGAAGCATTTGGCAAAACATTTTAAACAGTTCAGTTTATTGGAGTTGTAATGCTCTCTGTTGTTGTTTCATTAGATCTCTCTTCAGTACAAATCTGGCAGCAGCTTCTACCACACCTGTGGAGGAACCCTGATCAGGAGAGGATGGGTCATGACCGCTGCTCACTGTGTGGACAGGTGGGAGTTTTTTTAATAACAGAATAGCTTCTGAGTTTTTACATAGCCATTTTGATTTAAATTTGACTGGGAATGCTGTTGTATTTCAGTAATCTGTTTTAATCTAACATTAACTGTTAAATAAAATCTACAATTCCCCCCAGAATCTAGATCCCATGTAAAATATTGATTTTTAAAAGATATCCTGGAGAGAGGTCTCACTGCAATGTTGTTGATGATGTTTTGAACGTCCACAGTTCCAGGACTTGGCGTGTTGTTCTTGGAGATCACGACATTAACTCCCACGAAGGCAAAGAGCAGTACATGAGTGTGAGCCGCGTCTACATCCACCCCAACTGGAACTCCAACAACGTTGCTGGAGGGTAAGTGGTTACTGGTCATGTTTTGACCCACTTCTGCATATTAAAATAGCAAATCCTAATGGGTGTACATCACATATTATAAAAACAGAATGCATTTAGACATTTGTAAACAAATAAAAGTAATACCAGAAGGCTTTT